ATTGCATGTGACGAATTTACTATAAGATTATCCTAATGGCAAAATTAACATTCTCCATCTGTTAAAAAAATATATATATGACTATTTGAAAACATTCTGATTTTAGAGAGATACACATTTCAATAATGTTATTTTACAATTACCTTAGAGCCAGGTAGCTGAGGACGGAGTGAGAAAAAAAACTTTTCACCGTATAAATTTTGAGCCATATATGTGTGTTATATACTCAAAAACATAAATACAATTTTATAAAGAAGAAAAAAAGCTAACTTGATGTATTTGCTGTTAGGAAATAAGTTTAAAATGTCCTCAATAATATAAGATGGTAAAGAGGATTGGGACCAGAGAGGAAGTTAATCACCCCATTAGTTCATATACCTCTCTCTGTAGTTTACCATTTGTTCATTCAAACTGATAGGCATTTTACTGGAGGGTTTTCTTCTCCAGCCAGCAAGACCTTTATTCTCCACAGCTCAAATCCCATTAACGCCAATCAGCACAATGATTAAGCACTTTGGGTTAAGTACTCGAGCTGACAATGACTCCTTTGGAAGAAAAGTTCCCACAGCACAGGTAAAGGCTGTCATCAAACCCAGCCTTTCAGCCCTGGACGTAAGTGTCACAGATCTGCAAGTTAAGATGGTCTTGGTATTATTAGTATTAGTGGAGGCTTGCTTTTTTAACCTCACTTGACTTTATCCATTCAAACGACACTTACGGGAGTCCCACTATAAGCCAAGGCCAGCATCAAATGCTGGGGGTAGGAGAGCAAGGAGACACAAGAATTCTAAGATAGCTCTGGCCTGATAGCTCAGTTGGTGAGAGCGTCACATAAATAAGTGGAACAACAAGTCGATGTTTCTCTCCCTCAAACCAGTGTTGTTGTTTTATAACTCACACACACACAAAAGAACTCAACGATAAGATATGGGGTTGGGGGTATGGGAAGAGATAAACCAAAGAACTTACATCCTTATATGCATAGCTCATGGACATGGGCAATAGGGTAGTGAAGACCTGGGGGTGGAGATAGGGACTAGAGGAGGGGATAAAAATGGGGGAGGGGGGGAGATAGGAGATATCTGTAATACTATAAAAAATATATTTTAAAAGTAAAATAAAATAAAAAAAATATGGTTCCTGCCTATAAGAATCACAGTCTGCGGAGGAAAGCAGCCAATGAAAGAAATAATGACATTATGATAGTAATTCTATCCCTAAATCTATAACCTAGACTTATACTCCTCACCACTAGGACTGGTCAGTTTTTTTGTTTTTGTTTTAATTTGTTGTTGTTGTTGTTGTTGATTTCAGAGAAAAAGAGAGAGGGAGAGATAGAAACATCAACAGTGAGAGAGAATCATTGATCAGTGGCCTCTTGATGCCCCACACTGGAGATTAAGCCCACAATCTGGACCTGTGCCCTGACTGGGAATCCTGGTTTATAGGTCCACGCTCAACCACTGAGCCACCCCAGCTGGGCAGGACTGGTCAGTTTCTATCCTAGTTTCACTTTCCCACCTTCAACTGTAGCACAGCTGGGTTTCCAGCTGGCTGGGGAAGCAAAGCTTCTTTAAATAAACAGCATTTTTAAAATATGCAGTGGCTTTTAAATTTTGCAGACCACCTTTCTCTAATATGTGAATTTAGGTGCCAAATTAATTAAAAATGACCCTAAAGAATGTGATAACCCCCAGGAATACACCTTTTTTCATCTTCAACAACAAAGTACACTATATTTTGGAAGAAAACTTCATATCAGAAAGTCCCAAAGAAAGAATGAGCTTTCTTTTTTATGCTATCTACTATATCCTGCCAATAGGAAAACAGATTAAAATCATATATATGGAACTCACCAAGATCCATATATATACATGGAAGAACCTAGTTATAGTGTGATTATACCAAAGTATATGCAACCATTAGTAAAAATACAGGACTATTTGCAGAGCAGGATGCTCTTATAGCACTGTCCAGAGTTGCTTTGCTAATCTTTGAGCGTCCTTTCCATCTTTCCTCTCCTTTCCTCCAGAACCCCTCCACGTGTGCAATCTTCTCAGAAATGCAAAGATTTTATTCAACTCTTTATCACCAGAGGTAGTTCTTTGGGGTGAGTGACACACATTAGATCTGTAAAAATGCCCCTCGGACGATTACCAGGAGGACTGTACAGACTTCAAGTCGCCATTTCCCAGTTGCAGTGAAATGAGCCATTGCTGAGGACCTTGTGGAAGGGGTCCAGTATGACCCCTCAGTGGATGCTCCCAAGGCATGTGCCATCTGTTAAGCACCACATTTTCCTCTGTACAGGATGCTATCCCAAAGTCCTAGCCCACCAAAACACAACTTTCTACATCTCCCTGGGAACCACACCTTTCAGAACCTACACACACTTAGAGCTGAAACTGGCTAAACAAAGTAACCATTCAACCACAGTTGCTCAACATAACGGCCATGATGACAGTCTCCAAACGCCAGCTTCCCTATTTTGCAATGGGTAAATGTGCTCCAAGGAGAAAGTGTTCCCAATGACCTGAGGCCCAGAGGGCTTTCTTTAGAGATAGAAAACAGAAAATGAATTTGTTAGATATTTCCTGCTGAGCACAAGGAAGATGTTGTTTCCTTATTTAATATACCATTACCAGTGCATGTTTTCTTTAACCACATAATAGAAAACGAGAAAATGCAGTTTATGCTCTTCTGGCATATTATCACCAGTGTTACAAGTTTCTTCTCACAAAAATGTCCTTTAATTTCTACTCCCCTTATATAATCCTCCAAAACTGACATGAATCTATATACTATCAATTCAAAGCGAATATTATTGAGTATCCTACAGATACCATTCCTGCTCCTTGATAATTTGTGATGGGTGAGGACCTTTTCTTTAGCAGTGATTGCAGTTCTAAATTTATCTTTTTTGAGAACTGTACTACACATGCTATTTCAATCATGAGATGACCATAACCTAAAAGCAGACTATATTTCTGACTCCCAAATCTTTCAGGATCTCTACATTCAATTCTTCAACACTCACTAAAACAAACAAGGTATGCTGTGTGTGAGGGGGGTGAGGGGGAGCGGGGGACTACAAGCAGAGAAGCCAGTGACCCTGTGGGGTTATCTGACAATCACCACCAGGTCTCCGTGGATGAGTCTGGCAATGAGCTCTGTGCATATTCAGGAGCAACTCACCAAGATCCAAAACAGAAGCTGTCCTTGGACAAGGTTCAATAAATGTTTTTACTATCTATTTCCCACTGCACAATACAGTTCCACGGCTCCCCAGGGGATCTCAGATAAAACACTTAGCAGGATAAAAAATTAAAAATTCCTAACTGGTCTCCACTTGTCACCATAAAACATTTCAGAGCATAAAACCAACATTAAAGAGCAGTCAACAATATTCCACAAAACAGTGTCAGAGACAGAAACTGCTATTATCACCAAATGTTTTTCCTTTGTGAGACGCTGCAAGAAGAAGAAAAAGAAAAGGAAAAGGAAAAAGAAGAAGAAAAAGAAAAAGAAAAAGAAAAAGAAAGGACACTGCAAGTTTCTTCTCATTAAAGTAAAGTAGATGTTCTCCCAAGCACTAAACTAGAATGTATCTTTTGAAGGACTGGATGATGGTAATAGTGGGAGAGCCAGGAGTAGGGAAGCTTCCACAAGCAAAAGGCATTGAATTAGAAAGATGAAGGCAGCAAAACTTCCAACGAGCTGCTCCATATTCTTTGCAACTTACTCAAAGCCTCGTCACACTGCCCAGATTCGGTAAACTGGGTAACCATACCAACTTCAGTGGCAGTCCGGGACACCTATCCCAGTTCGGTGATTGCACGGTTCAGAGTCACACCACAAGCACCACATTCAGCCTTAGAAGGGACAAAATGAAACCCCAACATGAATAAGCATAAGACAAGCTAACACCAAATACTCAGCATGGGGGCAGTTTGGTTTAAATTTATCTTCCTGAGAACTAAGTACTGGACTCGGGGACAAGAAGGGAAAATCCTTAAACCAACACTTCTTTCACTCTCGACATGGGAGACCTCCATCCCCAGCTACACAGATACACAGATGTCTGTGTTTTGTTTCTTATCGCCTGCATTCCTGTGCAACACCCAACATCATGAGGATGGGAGATGCAGTCAACACATCCTGCCAGTAAGCTGTCAGAGCTGAACTTGCAGCATGGGCAGAAGTTACTCTAGTTCATCCTGATCACTATTAACAGACCTAGTAGGATCTCGGAGAAACAGCCCGAAGGATGTCTGCTAGCAAGTCCTGGAGGTTAACCGAAGGCTGGGCTACCCGCTGAGCAGGCAACACGACGGAGAAAATCACGATGGAGAGAGAGAGAGAGAAAAAAAAACGTGAGCCACATGGGCCACAGAAAACAGTAGCAGAAAAAGTCCAACTCTGCCTGCGCCAGAGGTGTGGGTAAGCAGACCCGAGAAGCCGGGGGAGAAAGGAGGGGGCGGGGGCCCCATTCCCCGGGGAGAACTCAGCGGAGGCCTTCACCGCCTGGGAGTCTGCCCAGCTGCTCCTGCGGACCCTGCCAACCTGGCCGAGGCAGGCCCGTGGGAGCAGCACGGGCAAGGCCTCCGAGGGTCACTCCGGATCCGCCGAGCCTCGGGCCGGCACCGCCGGACTTCTCCATTTTCCCTGACTCTCCTGGGCTAGGATGGCAGCTTTCCAGCCACACATGCCATCCATCAGCCGCAGATCCCTGTTGGCACAGGCCAGCGCCTCCTCCCCCCCTCCCCGCCCTTCCCCACCCCTGGCACACTTTGAGCCTGATCCTCCTTTCTCCCTGATCTCAAACGCCTCTTCCCACCCGTGCCAGCCGCCCTGCCCAGGGGCGGCCCCACCCCCAGCGGTCTGTCGGTCTGGCTGTGCCCGGCCTGGGCACCTGCAGCACCTCCCCGCCCCACCCCCAACCCCCTCCGCCTCGCCCCTCCCCCCTTCCCTCCAGCAGAGAGAGAGAGGGGGCGACTCACCGCAGTCCATGCACAGGATCTTGCCCACCTCTTTCTTGAGGTTTTTGCCGTTGGTGTCGAGGGGGGCAAACGCCGTCTTGAAGACCAAGGGCTGCTCCGTGGGCTCCAGGAAGAAGATGTAGCGCTGGTTCCTCTCGAGCGGCGCGCAGGAGCCCACGCTGATGAGCTGCTCGCGCTGCAGCCCCCCGCTCCGGAGCGGCCACTTGTCCAGCACCTTCACCAGCGCCACCCGGCCCGCGGCGGGCGGCTCGCGGGTGCTGTTGGAGCCGGAGCCGCCGGCCGCCGGCGCCAGCCCCTGCACCTTGCCCTCCACCACCACGGGCGCCTTGTACGCCTGGTCCTGCACTGACTTGAGGCTAGGCGAGTAGCAGGCGAGCGACACCCCGAAGAGCAGCATGGAGAAGCCGGGGGCCGGGTCGCGCCTCATGCCGCCGGCGGCTGCGGCTCGCGAGCGGGCGGCGGCGGCTCTCCGGGCTGCGGGGCTGCGGGGCTGCGGCGGCTGCGGCGGCCGCGGCTCTGGGGGCGCAGCGGGACGGGAGATGCTGCTGCTGCTGCTCCTGCTGCTGCTGTTCCCGCTGCTGCTGCTGCTGCTGCTGCTCCTCTTGCTGCTGGTGCTGCTGCTGCTGTCGCTGTGGCTGCTGCACGGAGCCTTCTCCAGTGGCGGCGGCGGCGGCGGCAGCGCTGAGCAGCAAACCTGCCGCATCTGGCCAGGCCATTTGGGGGGCTCCGCCGCTCAGCCGCCGCCTTGGGAGGGGAAACGGAGCCTGCGGAAAAACCGGAAACAGCGTAACGTTAGTGCTTCGTTAGCCCTCCACCCCGCAGCCCGGGGACGTGGCCCAGCCGGGCGAGGGGCAGGCGGCGAGCGGGCCGCGGTGCGCAGCGCGGAGCCGCGCCTCGCTCCCACCCTGCGCGCCAGGACCTGGAGGAGGATGCGGAGGACGGGACACCCGCCCACTGGCTCTCTCGCGCCCCCTCTACCTCCGGACCGAGCGGGGAGCGCGGCTTCTGCAGGGGAAGCTGGGGACTGCACCGCTTTCGTGCCCGGCTCTTGGGCCCGCAGGACGCGGGAAGGACCGTGCAGCCCTCTGCTCCTGGGATTTATGGACGTGACAGCGGGGTCGTGCGTGGAGAAGGGGCGGAGCAGAGATAACAGTTCTGGCAGCCTCCTATGAACTTGGAGGAATGGGACCCAGGGCGTGCCCTTGCCTCTGGCCACAGGCTGTAGCAGCCAGGGAGGTTGCCGGGGCTGGGGTGCTGGCCCAGCCTCCCGCCTCCTGTGTTGTCCCCTTCCCTGGGAGAGCCCTAAAGGGCGGCCCCTCATCCAGCCCCTGTGCTCGGCCCTGCCCCCGCCAGGAGAGCGCTGGGGATCTCAGCCCCGTCTTTGGGCAAAGAGTTGGGGCTACGTGGGGTCTTGTCTTGGCATTGAGAACACCCAACGACGGTTGGTGATTGGAAGATGGTCCAGCCCCCCAAGACCTGGGCTCTCTCCATCTACCAGGGGGGCCAGGCTGCAACCTCCTCTTTTTGTTTTGTTAATCCCCACGCGAGGAAATTTTCCCCCCATTGATTTTTAGAGAGCTTAAGGGTTGGGAAGGGGAGAGAGAGAGAGAGAGAGAGAGAGAGAGAGAGAGAGAGAGAGAGAGAGAGAGAGAGAGAGAAACATTGACGTGAGAGACACATGGATGGGTTGTCTCCCACACTCGGCCCCAGTCACACAGTCTGGGATGAACCTGCAACCCAGATACGTGCCCTTGACCCGGAACTGAACCTGCTATCCTTCAGTGCGCTCTAAACACGTACCACCACCAGCCAGGGCTGCAACTCCATCTTTTAAAAAGCTGCGCCCTAAGGAGATGGGGCTTTCCTGGAGCCAACCTGGGAGCTAGAGCTGGCTCATTTTTAAAAGTGTGGAGATTATAAGAAGCAGGAGAGTTCGCTCCACCAGAGTCAGTATCTGATTTTAAAAAGCGAGTCCACGATCTGTTCTCCTATCAGTAAGGGCCCAGGAAGTTTTCCACACGCAGCTTATATGCTTGAAGGATGTGCAGCTCAGAACTGCGGGGAGGTTCTGGAGACTTTTATGTCAGGAGACTGGCCCAAGGAAGTCTGACTTAGGCTAGGACTGTCATTCTGGAAAGGAAGGACCTTTTCTCCTGCTAAGTCCTCACACTTAGCTTGCCCAAAGCCAGCTTCATCTCTCCCACCCACTCCAAATTCCCTGTCATTAGTCATGGCACCTTTTTATACTTCCAATAAATCCTTTATTCTTGTTTTTCCTCATCTAATCAATCACCAAATCCTGGGACTCTGCATTTTAAAATATATCCTATTTATGTAGCTTCTCTCCAATCCTGCCATGAACACCGTAGGTCCAAGTGCGCATCATCTCTCACCTGGACTTCTGCAAAACCTCTTCGCCAGTTTCTACACCTCACTTCGTCACCCTCCTCCATTACCTACTGCCACATTATCACGTCACTGCCAGAGCGGGCATGTGACACGCTAATGCCTCTGCTCTCGGCAATAAAGTTCAGGCTCTTCAGCGTGACTCTTCCTGGGCTCTCCCCGCCTAACCAGATCCACACTCTGGAAGCCAAACATGTACCCTGACAACCCTGAGCACATGGCACTGTTTCTTGGTGTGCTTCTGCACGAATGCCTCATGTCCAGGAAGTCTCACTTCCATCTCGTTCACCTAGAAAACTATTCTCTTTTTTTCCTTTTTAAAATTAAATCTTTAATTTTTTTATTTTAATTTCAGAGAAGGGAGAGAGAGACAGAAACACTAATGATGAGAGAGAATCATTGATCAGCTGCTTTCTGCACACCCAACTCTGGGATTGAGCCTGCAACCCAGGTATGTGCCCTGACTGGGAAATGAACCCGTGACCTCCTGGTTCATAGGTTGATGCTCAACAAGTGAGCCACACCAGCCGGGAAATTAAATCTTTATGGTTAAAAGTATGACATATGTCCCCTTCTACTCCCTTCCCAAGGCCTTCACCACTCTATCGCCTGTGTCCATGCAGAAAACTATTCTTTCCCCAAGGCCCAGCTCAGCATTATATCTCACCCCTCCCTTATATTTCCATACACATATATGAGGAGACTAATTCTTCCTCTTCCATGTTACCATGTGCCTCATACTGTACTTTAGGCAACTGTAGTTTACTTTTAAGCATCTACACTTTAAGCAACTGTACTTCAAACATACTATACTTTAAGCATCAGACTTATACTGTACTTTAAGCAACTGCTAACCAGGCTGCATTTAACCCATCAGAATAGTCATCTTAACAGTGGGGACTAGGTCCTATTAGTCTTTGGATTCCTATCCAAAGGGACATCCAACACAGCTCCCGGCATAGAATAACGAGGAGCAAACCTTTAGTGAACTGAAAATCAGCTCTTTTAAGGCACAGCCCATCTTGTCGGCCCCTTCACTGTCCCCTTTTCATTTCATAGGCCACAGATCCTGTGCACCGCTATAAGGAAGACCCTAACTCCACCCTCTCAGTTTTTTAGTGGAAGAAATAGTCCCAGGGAGAAAAAGGGACTCACTCAAGATAACACACAGCCAAGACTGTCCTCAGTCTGTTTCTGAGACCAAAATAGTGGGGAAGAGCTTGTGCTCTGGGGTCAAGCAGAGATGGGCTTCAATCCAATTTTTTTGTTATCTTAATAACATTGGAATGATTCTATTTCTCTCTCCAGGCCTGTTTCCTCACCCATATGGTAGAGGTAATAAGAGGATCTACTACATAAAGTTGGGTTTTTTTTTGCTCATTATGTACATATTCAATGACTATCCAATATAATGGCTTCTCTGTGCCAAGCACAGTACTGCTCACTGGGTAGACTGCAGTGAATCAAATTGACACTGTCTGCTCTCAAAGTTCATATTCTAGTTCAGAAGGCAGCAGTAAACAAGTAGATAAATAGGTAACTAAATTACTTAGAGTGATACAAGTTCTGAAGAAAATAAGCAGGATGAAATGATAGGGAATAATGGAAAGGGGAGAGGGTAGGTCTACTTGGATAAGGGAAGGCTACTATGAGGAGATAACATTTAAATTGAGAGGAAAGGGATTTGAAAGATGTAAATTATGACATAAGTGTAAAGTGCTTAGAACAATGCCTGGTGCAGAATAAGAACCGAAATTAGGGTTGAATATTATTGATACTTTACTTATACCAGTGATTGTCAATCTAAGAGCCGAGAATCGAAGTGGTGTGTAGTCATTGCACACTAGGACTATCTATATGTTTAAAAATGTAATTCAGCCCTGTCTGGGTAGCCCGGTTGATTAAGTGTCAGCCCAATACGCCACAATTGTGAGTTTGATTCCCTGTCAGGGCCCCTATAAGAATCAACCAACGAATGTATAAGTAAGTGGAAACAAAACCTCTCTCTCTTTCTCTCCACCCCTCTCTCTAAAATCAATTTTAAAAATTATTTGTAAAAAAAGTGCAATGCAACTTTTCAATAGTAAATACCACTGGGAGGAGTGAAAATACATATATATTCTTGCCTTAGCCAAATGGTTAAGTGATTAGAGCATTAGCTTCACACCAAAAGGTCACAGGTTTGATACCTGGGCAAAGGCACACACCTGGGTTGCAGGCTCAATACCCAGCCCCAGTCTGGGCATGTGCAGGAGGCAGCAGATCAATATGTCTCACATCAATATTTCTCCCTCTCTTTCTCTCTCTCTCCCCACTCCTCCCTTCTACTCTCTCTAAAAACAATAGAAAAATATCCTTAGGCCTTAATTGGTTTGACTCAGAGTATAGAATGTTGGCCTGCAAACTGAAAGGTCCCAGGTTCAATTCTGGTCAAGGGCATTTACCTTGGGATGTGCCAGAGGCAGCTGATAGATGTTTTTCTCTCATCGATGTTTCAAAGTCTCTATCCCTTTCCCTTCCTCTCTGTAAATAAATAAATAAATAAATAAATAAATAAATAAATCTTACCTAATAATAGAGAAACATGTAAATTGACCATACCTCCACTATACCCACAACTAATCAGATTGAGTATGCAAATCAACCGAACAAAGATGTCAGTTAATTTGCATATATACCTGGGTCCTGGGAACCTCCTTGGCACCCAGATCACTCCCAGCCGGCCATTGGGCAGAGGCTTTAGGCTTGGGAAGTGGTCAAGCCTGGGATCGAAGGGAATGGAGGGAAAATCAATGGAAACATATCCTCAGGTGAGGATAAAAAGGAAAATAAAAAAATGTCATATCCTATGAAAGACACATCTTGAAAATGCTTTAAGAAAGTTGTCATTTTTTTCATGGTGAAGGGACTGGAGTCCCTGTTGATGAAAATACCTTGGCGGCTTCGGTGACTGGCAGTGGCTGCAGCAGCAGGGTAATGGGGTTGGCGCCTTTCCCTGATCAGCCCAGTTGCCTCCCGCAAAGGAAGGCTAGGCTGTGACTTAGGTCTGCTCCCAATGGAGCCATCAGTAGGAGCCCTGAGGGCACCCAGTTTGTGAGAGGGCAGGCTGGGCTGAGGGACCCCTCCCCAGTGCATGAATTTCGTGTACCGAGCCCCTAGTATGTGTGTGTGTGTGAACACATACATATGCACACACACACTTTCCATAAGCAGCAGTGACAGCAGGAACCACAGGGCAAAAGTTCATGCTCTCTCGAACCTCTGACACTGCCTTCCATCCCTAACCATCCCTTTAAAAAAAGAAAAATATCCTTGGGGTGGAGATTTAAAAAACAAAAACAAAAACAAACAAACATATTTTTGCCCTGGCAGATTTTGAGCATCAAACCTGCCCACTGAAGGGTTGATTCCCAATCAAGGTTCCATATCAATTGATGTGTCTCTCTCACATTGATGTATCTCTCTCTCTCTCTTTCTCTCTTTCTCTCTCTCTCTTCTTCCCTCCTACTCTCTCTAAAATAGGCAATGGAAAAAATATCTTCAGGTGATGATTTACAAAAACAAACAAAACAAAACAAAAATAATTCTCTCTCTCTTCTTTTCCATTTTAAAGTATAACAAGACACTGTCTAGTATGAAGAAGACTGAATCACGATGAAGCAGCGTCAAGATACGTTACCATTTTTGTCTTTTTAAAAATACATAAATATTGGCAGAGCATAGATTACCTTTGAAAAGACAGCAGTAATCGAAACAATAGTTGGCTCTGAAATGAGGAATGGGGTACAAGAAGGATACTTTTCATGGTACTCCCTTTTGTAACTTGTAAATTTACCTAGTTAAAAAAATTTTTAAAGAAAAAAATTTTAGAAAGGGGGTTCTCTAAATTTACTGTAGCTTAATTTTTATATTGTCTTTTCTTAATCATAAGCAATATTTTCTAATTAAAAGAAAGAGAGGAAAAGCTACTTTTAAAAGTAAAACTATTTTCAAGGGATTCCTTACATTTTTTTTTTTTTTTACCTTAAA